GTGTGTGTGTTAGTCATTCAATTGTTTATTTTTGCAAGTCATCTTTTTTTTTTGCTCATTTTAACCCTTTCATGCCCCCTGCAACCTGATAACATGATCAGCTGTCCACTGTAAAGTATTTCATGTGATTAAGTAATGATAAATTTACAGGACATTTACAGTCATGAGTTTAATGTATTTTATTTGTTATCGCTTAAAAAAAACGTGATTGTTTTTTAATAGTTTTGATTGAATTTAACAAAGTAATTTGTGTGTTGTGGTTTCATTCATCTTGAAGTAAAAATTTCACTTTATTAGATTTTTAAAATGCGTATACACAAGTATAATTTGACAAAGTAATTTGTGTGTTGTGGTTTCATTCAGCTTGAAGTAAAAATTTCACTTTATTAGATTTTTAAAATGCGTATACACAAGTATGTTTTTTCCTTGGATTTCCAATTTAGTTTCTTTATAAACTTATTTTAGGTGTTTTTTTTTTTTACATTTTTTGAAGCAAATTTTTTACTATTAAATGAAAAAAGTCTGTCACATCTTTTTCGATTTAGCTTCTTTTAGCATGTTCATTCTGTATCTTTTTGTTCTTTTTTTTTAAATTCATTATTTTATTCATTCCTTTCTTTATATTATTTTTTCATTGGGATGTTTGTTTTGACATGTTTTTATCTGATCACCTGAACTTCGGTTCAGATTTTTTAATTTTACTTTATTCTATCTGTTGCACTATTGTAAAGACTATATTTTTGTTATTATTATTTTTTTTTTATGTAACTAAAATGTTTTACAATTATTTTACTACCTCCACAGCCAAACAATTCAGTGAAGCATGTTTGACTGTTTTGGCTTTTTATTTTTTTTTTTCATCATTCAACATTCATCCATACATACGTAAGTCGAGTTGTATTTCTGTCGAGGTTTCAACCTTGTCTCCTTGCGTTGCACACTTAGATGATGGGTACGGGGGGCGTGGTGGTGCCTCTTCCCGAAGAGGCGAGTGCCCAAACCCATGAGAGACGTCGACCATACAATGTAGTAAGTGTTTATGATACATAATTGATGGCGGATGTCTCCCTCAATTGTGCAATATTAATGTACACCGCAGCAGAGTTGCGCCGCTGTGCTCCTCGAGCAGCTGCGACAGCATACAAAATGCTCAATTACCTTGTTTTTTTTAAATGTCATTTTTCCTTGTCTCTTTTTTTTTTTTTTCGTGCATCGTTAAATTCATGTGTAGCTTTTTTTTTTTTGGTCTCCCCCAACGTTGACTTACGCTTTTGCAAATATGCCCTGTTTGAAGTGCTTACGACAAATTAAATGAAATATTAAAGAGGTCCCCATTCCAATCTCTGCAGATGGATGATGATGATGATTCCCATCATTTTGAGCGAAAGAAAACGTTCTCTTACAAATGAAAAGAGGGGGGGTGGAAAAAAAAAAGACAATTTACGTGATTATCTACAGCGGTGATGGATCCCCCCCCTCCCCCCATCGCCCCGTCTCCCAGAGGGCAGCGCATTTATTGCACCAGTGTCATTGAGAAGCATGTCTGTCGCATTCAAACTCATGTGAAAATTGTAATAAACTCTTTTTGAAGCCTCATCAACTTATTGATTTGATTTGAGCTGCGAAAGCGAAGCCTGGCTGTCATGCGTTCGTCGCCAATGTGTAATAAAAGGAGAGGAAAAAAAAAAAGAGAAAAAAAATCTTTGACACCTCTTGAAGTAGAAGAAATTGCCTTTTTTTTTTTTTTTTTTCCCAAGCAGCCGCGACCGACAAGCATGACGAAGCCGCGATGCTAGCGTGACAGCAGCTGCCGATTAAGACAATTTATCGCAAATCAGTGCAAATCATTCTACCTGTTCCACTTCAGGACATTCCGTTGTCATTGACGCCATCTGAGTGACGTGCCAACGTTAAAATGTGGCGCGCTTCACTATTGGGGAGAATTTAGGAAGTTTTTCCACACCCAAAATAATTGGAAAAATGATAGAAAAGGAATATTTTGTGTGGTCAAAATACTTCGGGTAGTCGCGGCTTTACAAGGATGAAGTAACTTGTCAATGTGACCAGAAAATGTCCTCATGTTATGATCATGATGAAAAATAATGTTTTGACTTTTGAGAAGTAGTAACATTCCACAGACATTTGGAATCGTACCGAAAAGTTGTACGTCACCAGCATATTTTTTTTTCCCCGATTAAACATTTTTAAAAGTCCCAATATTGTTGAAATGAAGTCATCATGTTGTAATAATGAAATCATAACATTTTAAAAAGTTGAGTATAAATATTTTTGAAATCGTCATGTTATCGATCTTCTGCCTGTTCTTGTGTTCGATTGCAATTCAGTGGCAAAATAGAACCATTTTCAGATTTTTATGTTTACTGTTTTGTAAAATGCTCGAGCCACATTAACTTTCCGCTGTTGACACTTGTCACCATCGTTAATTGTAAGCAAAAATATTTGGGCAGAGCATATTTGAAATGACGACGAAGCTATTTTTAGAACAGACTTGTGGGCGACTCATGTTATCCTTGGGGCTAACTAGTACCCACTGGCACCATTTTTTTTTTTTTTTTTTAGGGCAATGTACATTAATCAACAGAGCAAAAATGTTGTCTTGTTCCATCCCTCCTCTTCCATGCGAAACTTCTCACCCTTCCCCTCTCTGCTCGCCACATTCAACTTCACAGAAGCTGTGCAGTTACCAAACTGTGCAAAAGCATCCAGTTAAATTGTGCCCGGTTTACAAGTCCCCCCTTCTCCTGACCAGCAGTTATCGAAAAACTTGACTTTTTAAAACAACAGTAAACCATCCAACGGGCCATGCTTACGTGTTACGTTTAAAAAATATGCATCGGTAGGTGAATCCACGAGTAGCGAATCGCAAATTAGAATGGAAACGTCCGCTAGCTTTTCGACCGTCAAAGTTCATGACGCCAAAAACAGATTTTTGGTCCTATTTTCTACTAAAATCCAATGTTGAACTATTGGTCGAACTCCCCTCAGCGGCTCTTTTAGAAATCCCTTTTTCCCCCGTCGAGCAAATTGCCGGGCTTCATTACAAAAAAACGTGGAATTTTCATATCGGGAAAGGAAGCGTATCAGCAGGGGGGCATTCGTTTTTTTTTTCCAAGCGAACTCATTCGCCGGCAAAACCCCCACAGACCGAGCCCCCCATGTGCTAATCGCCCGGCGCACGAGGGGCCCCGGCCATTCATTGTCGTAAGGCACACCGATGAAAAGTCAACGTTATGGAGGGAAATGAAGAAGCCAAAGGAATTAAGACACATTCCATAGCGCTTGCGAGAACAATGCGTTTTGCTCTTTCGTTATGTCGTCGACCTGCTTTTAATATTCATGCCGGCGATTTGCATAGAAACTTCTTTGACAAAGTTACAGCAGGAAAATCACGTCCAGGGCTTTTCCATTCAACTTTACAATGAGACTTTTTGAAAAGGTACTTTCAGAAAAAAAAAAAACAAACGTTTTTTTTTGTTTTTTTTGAATGATTGCAATTTGGCGCACGTAGGAGGAGGTTAATTCCTGTTTACAGATAAGCCCGACATTCTTTTCAAGGTTCTGTTTAATTGCACGTAGCGACAGGACGCAAACAAAAAAAAAAACCCTGCCGCTATCTGTGTTTCCAAATTTGATTTAACCTCACTTTCTCCTTCGCCCGGACCCCCCTGGTGGATATTCACTTTGTTTACCTCAAATTAAACTTCATATTGTTTACAGCCCGGCGGTCCCTGAACATTTTACAGCGTTTTAGACCCGCGTTTTCTTTATTTATTTTTTCTAATGATTGTAGGGTTGGGATTCATTTGAATGTTCCCCCCTCATCTGCATGAAAATTATATAATTAACTTTTGATTAACCAGCTCAGTTGAGTTGCCCACCCCACCCACCCAAAGCACACTGGTGAATACTTACCCGGCGCATTTTAATGACTGTTTTCCAATTGAGCGGGCGACCTTTTTCATCAAAGAGCCGCAACTGGGGCCAAAAAACGGCGGCGGGGAATAATCGCGGCGAAGACAATGGCGGGCTCGCGTGTCATCCTTAAATATAACAACAAAGCGTGAGGTGGCGGGAAGCCAAACGCGCTGGGCTCGCCCCCATTGTTTGGCGACGCCGAGGTCACGTCCATTGGCGGACGCCAATGGAAAAGGGACAAGGAAGCGGAGAATGGCCCATTGTTGCGTGTCCTTGCTCAAAGGGAATTCCGTTTATGAAGGGCAAGGCGTTTGTTTTCTTTCTTCTTTATTTTTTTAGGCCCGGTTAGACAGGTTGAAAGTTTGGATTCCCTCCCCCCCCCCTTTTTTCATTATTCTATTCATAAATTACAAGTTTCATGTTAATTGGACCAACAGGTTCATCTGTCACTTCTAAAGAAATGGTACAGTTTTAAAACGTTTTTAAAAATCCCAGTTATCCATCGGGATTAGCGAAATTCCGCACAGGATTAATGAAATTTAATCGCAAAAATTCTTGACTAAAAATGGGGCTGGATGAAAACAACAAAACAATTACAAATACTTTTATATATTTTGGGGAAAATATCAGCAAATAGGTTAATCCGCGACTGCTAGACCACGAGTCTGTCGGGGGTCCAATGTGGACCCAAATGGTAGCATATTTGAAATGAGAACAAAATATTTGGTTGCCGAATGTTAACGTCGTAATATAACTGACTTTAATCATAAAGTTATGCTTTTTTCCTTCTTACAAATCGTTTTTCTGAAAATAGTACTTTTGTAAAATCAACGTCGCAACTTCAATGCGTGTCCTTTTTTTTTTGTTTGTTTGTTTTTTTTTTTGGCAAGGGAACACTTTTTTTGAATGTGCGTTTATGTACTTCCGGGTCAGTTTGGCTACTGCAGCCTCAAAGAGCTGCATTTGAGAGACGACAGTACGCTTCAGATGTCTTTCGCTTACGTATGCTTAAGATCAAGAACAGATTTTGTCTTTGGAGTTCAACCCAATTTATAAGTAAAATTTGATTAAACTCGTCCACGGGTGAAAACGCTCCAACTTTCTTGCTTTCATTACCCGGAAAATAACCCGGAAGTACATAAACGCGCATTTAAAAAAGAGGGTTCTCTTGCTGGACCCCCCCCCCACCCCCCCAATGCTAACATGTTTGAAACAAAGACAAAAGTTCTTTCTCATATCATTACTTAATTTTTGTATCGCTGTGATTTATTGCGTCAAATGCAAAGGGAGTTCCTTTCATAATTTTGCTGCTGTAAATTGGGAATTTCTTCATTGTGAGACAAATAAAGGTTTTCTTATCTATGTGCCCAACAGTTTCATCAAACCAAGACGCAAATGGTAACATATTTGAAAGTACGCCAGAATAAGTTTTGCAATATTCCAACTTTTTCTCGTTAAGAGCAAGGCATTCATTTATTTATTTTTAATTGTGGTGCCTTTGGACTTATTTGCTCCATCCAAGGCCACATTTGCTCAGCTGTCAATCAACTCTGCATCCCCTCTATCTGCAGAACTTTCCAACGGTTCATGTTGCAAACTTTTATTGAAATGCGGCAAGTAATAAAGTCATTTTCCAGGTGTCTTGTTGTGGCTCCCGTTACGGACGGAATGATAATTTTCCCCCGGAGGGCTCGCGCCCGCCGCATATCAATGGCAGCTGAGTGTGGGTCTTACTACATTCCCTCAGGCTACGCACATCGTCGAAGGCAAAGTCATCTTCAGAGAGCGTCCAAAGTGTCGGGGAGGTCTTCAAGAGACTTGAGAAGGTGCGGTTGTACATCTTGGAACTTGTTGTTAGTGGGGGAATTTTAATTACATTAAAAAAAAAAAAAGTGTTGAGCTACGACTTAGTCAAGTCCACGGCTTTGTTTACTACCGTTTAAGTCCACATGGTGTCACTCTTGAGCTTTTCATGCCAAGTGGCTGCCTCATCCATTCCATCACTTGCAGCAATCATGATAGCAGCCCCCCCCCCCCCAACACACACACCACCAACCCATTCCAAATCTCACAAAGACTTCAGTCAATCACCTAAAGAGTCGTATTGCGACTACTAGAAAGTATTTGGTACATTTTGGTGATCACTAAAAGCATCATCAAGTATTTTGAAGTTTTTCCGGCATGTACAGTAGGCCTCGCTGCTTCTGCTTCTTCTTGGTGCTGGCAGGGAAGTTTCCTGTTGTGTGCGGCTTTGATCGAGAAAGAACAGCGTTAAAGCGGCGGGGAAAGGAGGAGGTGTTAAATATGAATGAATACAGCTGCGTTTTGATGGATACGTCTCAAAAAGTTACGCGAGAAGAGCTCGTCAAAGGGCCCGGAAGTGTGTTTTGTGTTGTGGAAAGCGGCGCTTCTTCTCGCTTCTCATTCTCGTCGTCGCACATGCGGTTTGTAAGATGAAGTCGTCCGCTTCACGAAATAATGACACCATTTCCTTCTGTTTGGTCTTTTGAACAATCCACCCATGCCAAGTATCGACAGTATGTATTCTTTTTGTAGGTGATGGAAGCCAGCATCTTCCATCGGTGGCGATGTAGACTTTGTTGGCGGTTAAGTCTACGATTGCGCTGACTTCGGGGAGCCGGGACTCCGTTTTTGAAGTTGAGGGGAAACTATCAGAAAACAGCTTGATGTTCGACAAATGTGGCATTGAAAAACAAATAAAAGATACAGTAGTGAACATGATATGTTATACTTTACTCATAAAAAGAGATCATCATAAAAGTACAAATGCAAATATTAGTGAAGGTAATCGTGGTATGGTTCTTATTGCACCAAGACAGCACAATTTTACCAAAAGTATTTTTAACGCTGAAAGGACCCCATTCCCAGAATACACAGCTGGTAAACATGGCTTTTTTTTTTTGATTCGCTTAATTTTGAGAATAACCGATTATTGCTGCAAAATTAGGTGGCTTGGTAGTCGAGTGGTTAGTGTGTTGATATCCCAGTACAGAGATACTGGGTTCAATTCCAGCTCCCGCCTTCCTGTGTGGAATTTGCATGTTCTCCCTGGGCCTGCGTGGTGAAAGGCCAACATATTTCTTTGTACTTAATAGCGGAAGGAAACATAAATGTGTCAGTTTTAGAGTCAGTAAACAAATATGTTTCACTCCTGGACAAATCACAA